CTCCAATCCAAAGTTAAATCTAGAATCGGCTTCCTATTTCGCAACAAAGCCTCCTTCACTCATGCTGCCAAACATGCCCTCGTAAAACTGACTATCCTACCGATCCTTGACTTCGGTGATGTCATTTACAAAATAGCCTCCAACACTCTACTCAGCAAATTGGATGTAGTCTATCACAGTGCCATCCGTTTTGTCTCCAAAGCCCCATACACTACCCACCACTGTGACCTGTACGCTCTTGTTGGCTGGTCCTCACTACATGTTCGTCGTCAAACCCACTGGCTCCAGGCCATCTATAAATCACTGCTAGGCAAATCCCCGCCTTATCTTAGCTCATTGGTCACCATAGCAGCACCCACCCGTAGTCTGCGCTCCAGCAGGTATATCTCACTGGTCATTCCCAAAGCCAACACCTCCTTTGGCCGCCATTCCTTCCAGTTCTCTGCTGCCAATGACTGGAACGAATTGCAAAAATCTCTGAAGCTGGAGACTCTTATCTCCCTCAATAACTTTAAGCATCAGTTGTCAGAGCACCTTACCGATCACTGCACCTGTACACAGCCCATCTGAAATTAGCCCACCCAACTACCTCATCCCTATATTGTTATTTATTTTGCTCTTTTGCACCCCAGTATCTCTATTTGCACATCATCTCTTGCACATCTAGCATTCCAGTGTTAATACTATTGTAATTATTCTGCACTATAGCCTATTTATTGCCTTACCTCCATAACTTGCTACATTTGCACACACTGTATATATATTTTCTGTTGTATTTCTGACTTTATGTTTTTTTTTTTACCCCATATGTAACTCTGTGTTGTTTTTATTGCACTACTTTGCTTTATCTTGGCCAGGTCGCAGTTGTAAATGAGAACCTGTTCTCAACTGGCTTACCTGGTTAAATAAAGGTGAAAAAAAAAAAAAAAAAAAAAGTTGTTGACATCAGAGGGATCGAGTGTTGGTTTTTTGAGAAGGGGTGCAACTCTCGCTCTCTTGAAGGCGGAAGGGACATAGCCAGCGGTCAAGGATGAGTTCATCAGCGAGGTGAGGTAGGGGAGAAGGTCACCGGAGATGGTCTGGAGAAGAGAGGAGGGGATAGGGTCAAGCGGGCAGGTTGTTGGGCGGCCTGCAGTCACAAGTCGCAAGATTTTATCTGGAGAGAGAGGGGAGAAAGAAGTCAAAGCATAGGGTAGGGCAGTGTGAGCAGGACCAGCAGTGTCATTTGACTTAACAAACGAGGATCGGATGTCGTCAACCTTCTTTTCAAAGTGGTTGACGAAGTCATCCACAGAGAGGGGGGGGGGGGGGGGATTCAGCAGGGAGGAGAATGTGGCAAAGAGCTTCCTAGGGTTTGAGGCAGATGCTTGGAATTTAGCGTGGTAGAAAGTGGCCTTAGCAGCAGAAACAGATGAAGAAAATGTAGAGAGGAGGGAGTGAAAAGATGCCAGGTCCGCAGGGAGTCTAGTTTTCTACCATTTCCGCTCAGCTGCCCGGAGCTCTGTTCTGTGAGCTCTCAATGAGTCATCAAGCCACGGAGCTGGAGGGGAGGAACGAGCCGGCCGGGAGGATAGGGGACATAGAGAGTCAAAGGATGCAGAAAGGGAGGAGAGGAGGGTTGAGGAGGCAGAATCAGGAGATTGGAGGGAGAAGGTTTGAGCAGAGGGAAGAGATGATAGGATGGAAGAGGAGAGAGTAGCGGGAGAGAGAGAGCGAAGGTTGCGACGGCGCATTACCATCTGTGTAGGGGCAGAGTGAGTAGTGTTGGAGGAGAGCAAGAGAGAAAAGGATACAAAGTAGTGGTCGGAGACATGGAGGGGAGTTGCAGTGAGATTAGTAGAAGAGCAGCATCTAGTAAAGATGAGGTCAAGCGTATTGCCTGCCTTGTGAGTAGGGGGGGACGGTGAGAGGGTGAGGTCAAAAGAGGAGAGGAGTGGAAAGAAGGAGGCAGAGAGAAATGAGTCAAATGTAGACGTAGGGAGGTTGAAATCCCCCAGAACTGTGAGGGGTGAGCCATCCTCAGGAAAGGAACTTATCAAGGCGTCAAGCTCATTGATGAACTCTCCAAGGGAACCTGGAGGGCGATAGATGACAAGGATATTAAGCTTAAATGGGCTAGTGACTGTGACAGCATGGAATTCAAATGAGGAGATAGACAGATGGGTTAGGGGAAAAATTGAGAATGTCCACTTGGGAGAGATGAGGATTCCTGTGCCACCACCCCGCTGACCAGATGCTCTCGGGGTATGCGAGAACACATGGTCAGACGAGGAGAGAGCAGTAGGAGTAGCAGTGTTTTCAGTGGTAATCCATGTTTCCGTCAGCGCCAAGAAGTCGAGGGACTGGAGGGTAGCATAGGCTGGGATGAAGTCTGCCTTGTTGGCAGCAGAACGGCAGTTCCAGAGGCTGCCTGAGACCTGGAACTCCAGGTGGGTGGTGCGTGCAGGGACCACCAGGTTAGAGAGGCAGCAGCCACGCTGTGTGAGGCGTTTGTGTAGCCTGTGCTGAGAGGAGAGAACAGGGATAGGCAGAGGCATAGTTGACAGGCTGCAGCAAATGGCTACAATAATGCAGAGGAGATCGGAATGAAATGAACTAAACATCTGGGAAAGGAGAGAGCGGGGCCTCCCTCAGCACAACTCCCAAATATAACTCTCCCAATTTCCACCTCAGAAACTATAATTGTTGTAAACTACAGCGGTTCAATGTTTCTAGGAATAGACTAACTCAGTTTATTCAGCTAGCTAACTAGGTGCAGTATTATTCCGTGAAAACCGTCAATATAAAATATAAAATCGTCAAGTCATATGACACCACAGCCAGCTAGCATGCCGGACTCCAGCAACACGGTTTAGCGCCAATACTCTGCCACAACAAACCACCAGTGTATCAACACGCAAGCAGATCGTTCGTGTCCGTGTCTAACGTTGTGGGTTAGTCCCGACAGCTTGAGAGAGTCCGTCATCAACTTATTCAGCCAGTTAGTTAGCTAGAATAGTTAGCAAACTAGCTAGCCATTGCTTTCAGACATAGAAGAACCCCTCCTTTCACGGCACGAACACACAGAGAGAGCCAAACTAACGTTAACTAGTCACCCATGTCCCAAATTCCTTGAACGACTCGGGCTATCAATATGTAAAAAACAAAACACAAATGTAGGTTATGACTTACCCCTAGCAGCTACTGTTAGCTAGCCAAGTGCAAAGCTAGCCACTGAATTGACTCAGCCAGTTCGCGTCTGTTCGCACGGTCGTTCCAGCTATTGTTTACTAGTAGCTATCCAGGTAGCAACAATCTAGCTAATATTTCAAGCATAGTAGCCACTTGCTACCTAACGTTAACGGTTCAGACAATGAGGTTAGGAAACAGCTGAATGGTAGGCAATTATTGTATGTAATTATTGTAGGCAGCCAGCTGGCGTAATTACAGGCACTCTCAGGCGTGAAATAACTATACCGTTGCTAATAGCTACTCGCCAGCTAGTCCCGGTGGTGGGTTAGCTAGCTAGCTTCGTGCTACGCTGGGCTACGCTGGGCACAGCCGAATACAATACGCTACAATAATTACATACAACAACCCACAATAACTGATAACTATACAATTTTATCCCTGATGTCCTTACACAGCTCTTTGGTCTTGGCCATTGTGGAGAGGTTGGAGTCAGTTTGATTTAGTGTGTGGACATGTGTCTTTTATACAGGTAACGAGTTCAAACAGGTGCAGTTAATACAGGTAATGAGTGGAGAACAGGAGTGCTTCTTAAAGAAAAACGAACAGGTCTGTGAGAGCCGGAATTCTTACTGGTTGTTAGGTGATCAAATACTTATGTCATGCAATAAAATGCAAATTAATTATTAAAAAATCATACAATGTGATTTTCTGGATTTTTGTTTTAGATTCCGTCTCTCACAGTTGAAGTGTACCTATGATAAAAATGACAGACCTCTACATGCTTTGTAAGTAGGAAAACCTGCAAAATCGGCAGTGTATCAAATACTTGTTCTCCCCACTGTATGTAATGGGGAATTGATAAAAAATGTACAATCAATGGGCAAACAATTAGCACAATAAAACAATGAATCTGCAAGAATTGGCGGGAGACAGCTCAGCACATCCTGGAGAGAGACATGCCAATATCTTCGCCACACACCCCTCCCCTTCTTCTTGTCTCAACATTTCAAATTATACTCAAGACATTATCGTCACACATTTTAGATGCATTGCTTTTCACTCACAGCCGCATCTCAATAATCAGCTAGGCCTATTGCCACCCGCGCTGCAGAAATTGCAAATAGGCCTACATGCTTGTGATTTGAAACAATCCACAGCTTTAAAAGAAGCAAATGATCTTCTGTGGCTAAATCATGAAGTATTTTGAATGATTTTTTATTTATTTTTGTATAGACAGCAGTAATTATATAATTTTAGCAAATTCATTTCAATTTACTTTAGGCTGCAGTGACTACTGTTACCGAATCATGTCCTATACTTAGGTTAGATTTGAGCTTGATTTAAAAAAAGACAAGTGATGTAGCTTTCGAATGATATGTCACTTTCTATTTTCTGACCGACATTGGAGTGGTTATCACTTAAGCTCCCCAAAACAACTGCTCAGAATTTAACAGCTTAACCCTAACCTTAACCACTAACCCTAACCCCTAACCTAGTTCATGTTAGCCACAACAAATTGGAATTCGTAACATATCATACATTTAGCAAATTCATAACATACTGTAGGAATTGCAATTCGTAACATATTGTAGGAATTGCAATTTGTAACATTTCATACGAATTGTAATTCGAAACATATCATACGAAATCGATTATGATGGACAGCTACACATTAATACATACCATACGAAACGTAACATATCAACTAATTGGAGTGTTCCAGATTTACATTTACTATGTTATGTCTACCCCTGAGTCCAGGTTGCAGCTGAGAGGTTTGACCGCATGGGACTGACCGCATTCTGGCATCTGTTGAGTGAGTTCTGGAACGCTGCCTGATGTGGGTTACTGCGCAATCCGTTCATACAGCTGCAGGGAATATATGTCCAGCACTGGGCACTCCGCGCTCCCACCCGCACAGTCCACTATGGAACGGAAAGGGGATGACTGGCACAGGACCGAAGGAGAAAGAAGCCACCACAAGCCCGAGCATGACGGATGACAGGAGCGAGATGCTGTATATTCTGGAGAAGCCCCAGATGCGAGGCGAGGCGGAGCGGCTTCGAACTTTTGAAAACTGGCCGAGGGACGCACCAGTCACCACGGCCAACCTGGCCAGAGCGGGATTCTGTTTTCTGGGGCCCGGGGATAAGGTCCAGTGCTTCTGTTGTGGAGGGATCCTGAGGAACTGGGTTCACGGGGACAGTCCGATCGTCGAACACAAGAGGCATTTCCCCACCTGTAGTTTCATGCTGGGTAGAGCCGTTGGGAATATCCCGCTGTTTGTCATCCCCGGGTCCCCTTCTGACTCCGTGGACGGCCAGCTGTTGAGCCAGCTCCAGAGGATGACTGTGGACGACCAGTGGTCAGCCGGGCAGGCTGTCTACCCCGAGATGGAGTTAGAGGAATCCCGGCTAACCACCTTCCACAACTGGCCCACGGGTGCTTCGGTCCAGGCCGGTGTTCTGGTGAGGGCAGGATTCTTCTACACAGGTACGCAATAGTCTTTGTTGATGGTGACAGTGTGTGTTGTGAATGTAAACTTTTCTGAATTCTGTTGGGTAAGTTTTATAACTTGCTTCTTGCTTTTGGTTCCCTATAAAGTCCCATTAATGTTTGTTGAAGCTTTTGGATAAAGTTACGCACGCCTTGGCAATTACGCACTAGCAATTCGATTTTCAGAAATAGCAGGGTAGTGGAACAGTGGTCACTACGAGTTTCCAGTCTTTGTGTGTGAGTTCATGGGACAATAGTGACGCTGAGTCATGTATTTGTGGACAGAAAAAGCTGGACAGGACTCGGACTGCGTAAAGGAGAACATGCCATCACTGTAATGCTTAGACTGATGTGGTATTTAAAGCTTAGACATTAAAGCGACTAAGAGAGAGAATTAGAGAAAAAACGTTTCCTTTGTTTGGAATTCAGTTTTGGAAATGCAATAACACAATCCACATTCTCACAGCAGGAATGTTGTGGGTGTCTGTGTGTATCATTGTGAACATTTGTGTCATTGTGTTTGTGTACCCATGGACAGCAAACACATGCTGTTTTGTGTACTGTATGCATACTGTCCGTGTGTACTGTATGCATATGTTTGTGTGGGTGTGGGAGTATATTTGTATGTATATGTCCATTTGTGTGTGTGAGAGAGAGAGAGAGAGAGAGAGAGAGAGAGAGAGAGAGAGAGAGAGAGAGAGAGAGAGAGAGAGAGAGAGAGAGAGAGAGAGAGAGAGAAAGAAATGTGGTCCTTTAGTGTGTGTCTAATATTCATGTAAACTCTTTATGTCAGTGATAATGATACATAAGTGCTGTGATAATACTTGGTCTGTGTCCCACACTCCTAGGCTACGGTGACAACGTGAAATGCTTTTACTGTGACGGAGGGCTGAGGAACTGGGAACCTGGAGATGACCCCTGGCAGGAGCACGCCAAGTGGTTCCCACGGTAACACACAACAGCACCAACACACACAACCTGTAAAAAGGCATTCTGTAATGCCTTTGACCCTGTGTCCATGGTGCGGCTGGGTCAGTAGACTACTTCTTTATTTCTTTCCTCAGATGTGACTTCCTGATCCAGAGGAGAGGGCGTGACTATGTCAGCAATATCCAGGATACCCACTTCCACAGAGAGACTGTGGTAAGTACCTTTATCCCTCAGTGTTGTCCTTCACTCTCATCCATTGTCAGGGTCATTTGCATATTCATAATGTGCCATCATAACCGTAGTGGTCGCTGTAGTGTGTTAGGGCACTTACAGAATAGGTCCTGAGGGTGGATTTGTTTTCCAGGGTGGATCACAGACTCCGGTGTCCCGAGAAATGACCTCAGAAAATGGTGAGTCCCAGAATACAAATGAAAACATTGAAACTTACATTACATCCACTTCATTCTGTTAACCACCCCCAAATGAAATCACAGGGTAATCCGCTCCATGTGTTAACCTGTGCTGCACAAACACAATAAATATCGAATGCCTTGGAAACTAATGTGCTGCTTCCCCCTGGCTGCAGTCTAAGAGGATGTAGTATTTCATAAGTGGGCACTTAATCACGTGAATGTAGCTGGATAATCACAAATACTGCTTGTTTCGGCTGTTTTAGAGAACAGGCAGAAAAATAGTTGGATCCCTCAGTGGTGCTTTTCTCTTTAGCTATCAGAGCACAATTGAAAACTGAATTTCTTGCTGTGGTTTGTGTGTCAGAGAGGTGATGTGGGTCCCTGGGTTGCCTACTCTCTCCAGTCAGACACCCTGGGGTACTGCTCTCTCTACTGGGCTGTTTATCAAATGATAGAATGCTCACACTTATCATCACATACTGTTGCTGAATCTGCACTGCTATCCATCTTTTTTTTACAGGAGTGGGAAAAGGTCATTCCTTTTGCTTGAACACATATCTCTTTTGGTTTTCTCATGGAGAGAGAGATTGCCTCGGCTAGATTGAAACATTTTTCAGTGCTATTAGTTTTCAGTGAAACTCTCCCTCTATATATAACTCTATCTCTTTCCCACCTTCCCACCTTCTTTTTTTCTCTCCCCCACCCTCCGTTCCTCTCTTCCCTCTTTCTTTCGCTCCCTCCCCTGGCATCTCCTCCCCTCTGTCAGATGTGGTGGGTGGTCTGGGCGCACCCTCAGCCATGTTGTCTCCTGTGGTCCAGACCGTGCTCCAGATGGGGTTTGAGGCTGGCCTGGTGGAGAGTCTGGTCCAGACCAAGTACCTGCTGACCGGCCAGCACTACACCTCCGTGTCTGACCTGGTCACTGACGTACTGGCTGCTGAGGAGGAGGACAGGACCAGGGGGCTGCAGAGCAGAGTCCAGGGTGAGTATGATGATTATATTAATGATGATGGATTGGATTTACATAGAGCTTCCTGATGCTCAAAGCACATTGTAAGGCCCTTACAGAAAAACCACATGATTTCACATATGAAATTTCACATGTGAAAATATGTTTTTGGAAGACTTCACATGTGATCATGTGTTCACATGTGTAGTTTCATGTTATTACATGTTGCTTTACATGTTGTCACATGTTATCACATCAACTTCACATAAGATCACCTGTGATCACATGAAAACGTGTTCTTGGAACACTTCACATGTGATCACATGTGAAATTCATGTATTTTTTCCGTAAGGGTGGCAATGGGTTATTTCAGATAGGGTAAATGTCTAGGGATTGACCCCTACTGACCCCTGTGAGCTATACCCAGGCAGGTGCTGCTACTATATACCCTGGTAGTGGATGAAGTACTTGTCTTGAGGTAGGGACCAGCAGATGGTTATGGGCTGGGTAGAGTCCAGGGGCCCACAGAGCAGGGGTAAAGGCCATAACTTTAATAAACAGCCTACATCTTTGTAATTACACTTTGACCCTAGGGGGTGTCCTAAAAATAGCCTGCTGGACCATTGTCTGATGTTGACCACATTCACATTTTTACACAACCCTTTGATATTCTTGTGCATCTGAATTGATTGGATTGGATTGACATTGGGAAACAACAAATATAGACTCTTGTTAACGATGTAAATAGATCAGGTTACTGTGTGTAACCATGTGTCTCAACCTTGTTTGTGTTTTCTGTCCCCATCAGAGCTGATGGAGAGACAGGGGCCCAGTGCAGGAGGGGTCAGGACACAAACACCCATCAGAGAAAAAGGTCAGAGGTCATATTACACACACACACACACACACACACACACACACACACACACACACACACACACACACACACACACACACGCTTGTGCACACTCACATTTGTAAATTCATGTTTGTATTTCAGCAGTTGGAGACCCCACCCCTGAGGAGCTCCTGCGTCAGCTGCAGGAGGAGCGGACCTGTAAGGTGTGTATGGACAAGCTGGTGTCCATCGTCTTCATCCCCTGTGGTCACCTGGTGGTGTGTAGTGACTGTGCTGCCAGCCTGCATCACTGCCCCATCTGCAGAGCCACCATCAGAGGCAGCGTCCGAGCATTCATGTCCTGAGAGACACATTCAAGTACAAGACCCTTGTGTGAGTCAGTGTGTGTATGCGTGTATATTTGTATGGCAAGATTACCCTAAAGTATACCTAATACACCAATACACAAAATCCTTGTTTCCCTTTTAGGCTTTTGTTTGCCTTTGACAAATGAAGAAAGATTCTACAACCCCTCGGAGCGGCTCACATCTTTCTATAGGTGCTGTGAGAACGTTGTGAAAATGTCCCCTGGATGTTAGATGCCTGACAGATCTGATCCACTCTCCTAACCTGAACACTGCTCTGCTGTTAATTTGCCCTGCTCAAAATACCCTCCAAAATCAAAATGGCCTCTTTTTGGCTGTAATAGAAGTTGTTGAACATATTTATTTTAATACAATAAACACATTTGCAATATCATTATTGATGTTTACAGAGATCAACTGGGAGAGCAAGCGAATCAGTCCAACTGCACATCAGATTATAGTTAGTATTTGTACAAAATATGAATAATCCCTAAAACAAATAACCCAGAATCAGTTGATTAAAAGTACACATAATTTGGCCTCCCGAGTGGCACAGCGGTCTAAGGCACTGCATCACAGTGCTTGAGGCGTCACTACAGACCCGGGTTCGATCCCGGGCTGTGTCACAGCCAGCCGCGACCGGGAGACCCATGAGGCAGCGCACAATTAGCCCAGCGTCGTCTGGGTTAGGGGAGGGTTTGGCCGGCATGTCCTTGTGTCATCGCGCTCTAGCGACTCCTGTGGTGGGCCGGCGCATGCACGCTGACATGGTCGCCAGATGTACGGTGTTTCCTCCGACACATTGGTGCGGCTGGCTTCTGGGTTGGGTGAGCAGTGTGTCAAGAAGCAGTGTGGCTTTTGGAGGATGCATGGCTCTCGACCTTCGCCTCTCCCGAGTCCGTATGGGAGTTGCAGCGATGGGACAAGATTGTAAAAAAAGTACACCGATTTTTTTTATTTACACTCTTGAACACAGCACACTTTTTGGACAAATAGGATTACATAATTGAGTCACATGAAGGGAACAAAGAAATACAGAGGACACAAAATAAGGACAAATACAAAAAGCTTTTCCCCTATACAAAGAAAAAAAATTATCTACAAAGAGTTGGACTTTTTTGGGGATCCATTACACGACCACAATAGGCTCCAACCAACTAATGTCAGGTATGGCTCTTCCATTCCCTGTTGCAGAGGCTGTATTGCATTAAAAGGAAAAAACTGTTCCCATAAATGAAATTACTTTAGGTGTCTAAACATATTTTTATCAAGACATAATGTGCAGTGTGTGTTCACTGTTGCTAATGATCCTGGCTACAGTTAATAAAGTGTAGCTGGTCCTTTGTTCATAAGTATTGACAGGCAGGCATGGCTTGGTATTGATAAGCTTGGGGTTTATTCATTGGAGTGCAACATAGAATATTACAGATAGAAATGTAATGCATAGAGCTGGCATCATCTATGACAGAATAATGGCTATTGCACAACACATCTATATATGAACCTTCTGTAACATTGCGCTGTCCTGAAATTTTACATTTACATCTCAAATTATACCTTATTCTCTATATAGTGCACCACTTCAGGATTTCATTTGGAACACAGTCCATGATTTACAATAATTGTTTTTGCACCATCACTGAAGCCACTACCACCGTTCTGCAACAGCATTCATATGAAGCCAATTATCAGTTGAGAGACATCTGTGATTTTAATATCATCCGCTCAGAAGCCTGTCTATCAAACCCACAAGGGGATAAGGTGTTGATCAGGTGCTGGGAACAAAAGAGACCGAACCAAATTCCAGTCTTCATATGTGCTGTGTTCAAGGCTATTTTGATTAAGTAGAAAACAAGCTTTGATTAATGAAGGGTAATCATAGCATTCATGTTACAGCAGATTGCATCAAGACAAATGATACAAAATAAATACAAATACATTTTAGAGGCTTCAGTTGGAGCAAAGAAATACATTTGTTCTTCTGAATGGCGTCAAGTATAAGACTGTGTGGATAACATGGAGATAAAGAAGTAGACAGTGAGATAAACGCATACATACATGCAGGTTAGTAAACTGGACCTTCCTATGGGGTCCAGTAGGCCAATAGAAAATTACCTAAACTGTTTATTATATATTATCAACAAACAGTATGCCATGAAACCCTAAATGACAAAGCAGAGGGCTTTGTTGGAGTCCAGAACAGAAACATATTCAGTAGTATTTTAATGTGTACATGAGCACATTCAACAGCAGGGGGCAGTAGTGGTACACAGGAAGATTAAGGCAGAAGGCAGACGGTCCAGGTAGATTAGGTGCTCTTAGGCACAGATCTAGGATCAGTTGCCCCTTCTCAAATCTTCATGAGGGATGAAACACAAAACTCACCTTAGATCAGTGTCTATGGGCAACTGCATTCTACTCATAAAGGGACACAGCCAAAGACCCAGGCAGTTACACACTCTGTAACAGAAAGTCCAAATACTCAAGAACTAGCCCCCATCTTAAAGTTTGGACAAAATAGTTTATGTCTATTGGAATTGTGGGATAACTGCTCCCCAAACCCACAGAGACCCAAACATACAATAGATTATTACCGTATAATACAGCATATCCACAGTTATCATACAAAACCCATTCAAACATGCTTTGAAACAAATTATTAAAATTGATCACAGTTGAATCATCGATCTATAGATGGAATGATAGAGAAAACAGGTGGTGTATGGTTCTGTCTTCTTGCTTTGCTATATTTGTGCTACTTTTACATTAAAACCATTTACACTACATTCAACACCTTTGTATGCCATGGACGGGAAATGTAGACAAACTACCTCTCATATCACACACTATTTTGGATTGGAAATACAGTGAGCCACTGTGTAAAGTGTGTTTGACTTATGATCAACTGTCAAACACTCAAACTTACACTCAACCCCCTACCCTCACAGTAGTTGGAGGCCGTTGGGTTTTTAGACAGGGGCTTTAAGACACATCTAAATCCTGACACAAACCTCAAACCTCCACACCAACAACTGTAAATCAAGGTTACAAATAAACCGTTTTTCCTTTCATTCCACCCCTCTCTACAGCTTTAAGATTCAGTCTACTGAACACTGTAGACCATGATCAGTCACAGTCAGTCACAGCACTGTAAGTAAGACTAGATTAACAAAAAGTTCAACTCAAACATTATTGCCTGTGTGCTTTTACTATAATACCTTAAGCTCTTTCTCTGTTATGAGGTTGTTGTTGTTTAGTTTGCATTTCAAAACCCTGACTCAAACTCTTTTTCCAGCTTGTGTTCTCTTTTTTCTTCTTTTTCTGGTTCTATTTTTGAAGTCCCTTTAGGTTTGGTTGCTTTGCTTCCCTACCTCCCACCCCTGTCTCCCCCTCCTTTTCCCCCTTCCCTTCCTACCTCTTACTGCTTTGCCTGTGTATTTATGTGCACAGATCCTGGCCTCAAGTAAACAGGCAGAACACAATAGCTCATTCCATTCCACAGGCTCAACTGTAAACAGTGAGGATCTAAGACCAAGCCATAATAACACTCCAAACCACAAAGCCACAGACAGATAGGCCTTTCACACCAGAGGCCAGGAGGAAGGCTGAACTGTCGGGTTCACACAAGTTTTTATATATATATATATATATATATATATATATATATATATATATATATATATACACACTACCGGTCAAAAGTTTTAGAACACCTACTCATTCAAGGGGTTTTCTTTATTTTTACTATTTTCTATATTGTAGAATAATAGTGAAGACATCAAAACTATGAAATAACACATATGGAATCATGTATGAACCAAAAAAGTGTTAAACAAATCAAAATATATTTCATATTTGAGATTCTTCAAATAGCCACCCTTTGCCTTGATGACAGCTTTGCACACTCTTGGCATTCTCTCAACCAGCTTTACCTGGAATGCTGTTCCAACAGTCTTGAAGGAGTTCCCACATATCCTTCAATCTGCGGTTCGACTCATCCCAAAACATCTCAATTTGGTTGAGGTCAGGGGATTGTGGAGGCCAGGTCATCTGATGCAGCACTCCATCACTCTCCTTCTTGGTAAAATAGCCCTTACACAGCCTGGAGGTGTGTTGGGTCATTGTCCTGTTGAAAAACAAATGATAGTCCCACTAAGCCCAAACCAGATGGGATGGCGTATTGCTGCAGAATGCTGTGGTAGCCATGCTGGTTAAGTGTGCCTTGAATAAAAAAAAAATCATAGACAGTGTCACCAGCAAAGCACCCCCACACCATAACACCTCCTACTCCATGCTTTATGGTGGGAAATACACATGTGGAGATAATCCATTCACCCACACCGCGTCTCACAAAGACACGGGGTTGGAACCACAAATCTCCAATTTGGACTCATCAGACCAAAGGACAAATTTCCACCGGTCTAATGTCCATTGCTTGTGTTTCTTGGCGCAAGCAAGTCTCTTCTTATTATTGGTGTCCTTTAATAGTGGTTTCTTTGCAGAAATTCGACCATGAAGGCCTGATTCACATAGTCTCCTCTGAACAGTTGATGTTGAGATGTGTCTGTTACCAGGGACGGCCTGTTCAATAGGGCGATATGGGCGACGCACTGCCAAACGGGAAAAGGAAGGGATTTTTTTTCTAATCAATTATATCACGGCAACAGTAGTTATCAGTGTTGTAATCTATACGTCTGATCTGCCACAGTGCCACACTGCCACTAAATGTCGAATCAGGCTAAAGTCGTGCTTCAAATGGCTCCACCCCCTTTTGGGGCGATTTCAGTCAGATTGAAAATCGCCCAGAACTTCTGTCATAGACTCCCATGTAAAATCTATTTTTTTCAAATTTCAGAGCCTTCAATACAATCTCAATGGGTGTCTGTGGGCTTGCACTTACGCGCTTTCGTCATACGTTACGTAACCATGAACGTAACTGAGAAAAGAGTGGATTGTTTGAAAGAAGTTCCTTTTTGTCTGCGAACAAATTAAGATAAATTGGCAACGAAACAATTAGGACCTCCCAGACCAAATTTAATAATTCAACAGGTTTCTACTAAAGGCGGAAAGTCCTACACCCGAGGATTTTCCAAAAATTGGTACGAACGAAAAAAGACATTGCCACTCACTCAACTGGATGACGAGGGATACAGGCTAGCTGTCCGCCGCCACAACGATGAGGTTAGTGTTGATAATCACAAGTTTACTGGATGTGGATATGGTGTAATAAAGGCAGTTTATTCAGAGGTAAATATATCTGGAATCGCGTTCACGGACCCGTTCGTCAAACTCTTAGGGAGCTATAAATTAAGCCCCATTACTTACCATATCAGATAAGAGAAATTGCTGCAGCTACATATATTTTACATCCTGGCCCTAC